GTGTGCTTTATGTGATTCATAATCTCTGTTAAGTCCAATCCTTGAGGGCTACCTGTTATTGTTTCTTCTTATCAACTGTGTGTGTGTGTGTGTGTGTGTGTGTGTGTGTGTGTGTGTGTGTATGTATGTGTGTGTGTGTGTGTATGTGTGTTTGTACAATTTTCCTAGTGATTACCAGAAAATAACTAACTGAATCTCTCTCCAGGTGGATGTGGTGCATGTGTGGTACTCCTCTCAAAGCACAACCCAACCCTCGACCAAATCGAACACTTCACCGTAAGTTCGTGCCTCACGCTCCTCTGCAGCATAAACAACTCCTCAATCACAACAAGCGAAGGCATCGGAAACACCAAAGATGGATTCCATCCCATCCACAAAAGGTTCTCCGGATTTCACGCTTCTCAATGCGGATTCTGCACCCCCGGAATGTGCATGTCCCTTTTCTCCGCACTCGCTAATTCCGAAAAAACCGATCAACCGCTGACAGTTTCCGGAGCCGAAAAATCCATATCGGGGAATCTTTGCCGATGCACCGGCTATAGGCCTATAGCCGATGCATGCAAAAGCTTCGCTGCCGATGTTGACTTGGAGGATTTAGGGGTCAACTCCTTTTGGAAAAAACAAGATTCCAGAGAAGTCAAAGCTAGTCGATTACCATCCTATAATAAAAAAGATCACGTCTTGCCGTTTACGAAAGGATTCGAAGATAAGTACAAGTCGACGAAGCTTTTGAATTCTGAGCAACTGAAATGGTACAGTCCCGCAACTATCAAAGAGCTTCAAAACTTGTTGAATGCCGGTATAGTTGAAAATGGTACAAGGATTAAGCTAGTTGTTGGCAATACTGCGAACGGATATTATAAGGAAACGGAGATATACGATAGATACATCGATCTGAGGTACATACCGGAGCTTTCGGTGGTTAAAAAGGGCAGCTCGGGAGTCGAAATCGGAGCGGCTCTGTCGATTTCGAAAGCTATATTATATTTGAAAGAAGAGGGTAAAACCGACATATACGAAAAGATTGCCAACCATATGGAGAAGATTGCTTCGGGTTTCGTAAGAAACTCCGCTAGTCTAGGTGGCAATTTGGTTATGGCACAGAGGAATTATTTCCCTTCGGATATCGCTACACTACTTCTCGCTGTGGGGTCGAGTGTCAGCTTATTATCGGGCCCCACTAAACAAGAAAAGATTACGATGGAAGAGTTCTTGCAAAGACCGCCACTGGGCCCCACAGATCTGCTTTTGAGCGTGCACATTCCTTTTAACCAACGAGCAAAAACCGAAGCTAATTCAAGATTGCTGTTTGAAAGCTACCGCGCTTCGCCAAGGCCACTTGGAAATGCACTGCCGTATCTAAACGCTGCGTTCTTGGCCGATGTTTCTTTGTCTGAAGAAAACGGGGTTTCGGTGAATTGTATTAAGTTGGCTTTCGGTGCTTACGGGACAAAACATGCGAAAAGGGCAACTAAAGTTGAGGAATATCTGAAAGGTAAAATACCAAGTGTTGATGTTTTGAACGAAGCCGTTGAATTAGTCAAAGCCGATGTGGTTTCGGACGAAGGCACTTCGGATGGTGCTTACAGGACGAGTTTAGCTGTCGGTTTTCTTTTTGAATTTCTTAATAGTTTAGTATTGCCGGAAGGAGCTGCTAAAAGTAACCATGGTAGTGAAATAGGAAATACGCCGTTACTTTCTTATGGGAAGCAGGTTGTGGAATCTAGTACAGAATATTATCCCGTCGGAGAACCGATTGCCAAATCTGGTGCTGCCATCCAAGCATCAGGTTTGTTACGCCGTTTTTTTTTTTTTTGGAATTTTCATATTATTTAGAATTGTAATTTACTGCGTCTGTTTCGACAAATATGCAGGTGAAGCTGTGTACGTAGACGACATTCCCTCGCCCCCTGATTGTTTGCATGGAGCATTTATTTACAGCACAAAGCCTTTAGCTCGAGTGAGAGGCGTTTCATTCGAATCTCACCCCAAACCGACTGAAATTTCTTCTGTTATCTCTGTCAAAGATATTCCAAAAGACGGCAAAAATGTCGGAAGTATGGCCATGTTTGGTACCGAACCATTATTTGCCGATGGTCTCGCTCAATTTCCTGGCCACCTCATTGCTTTTGTGGTAATTATCATCTATCTTCTTACCCTATTCTTGATTTTTTTTTTTATTTTTTTTTCAATATATAGTAAAACTGATAATCTTGAACTATACGTCTAGGTTTCCGAGACGCAAAAGCGTGCTAATTTTGCTGCGAAAAATGCTGTGGTTGATTACGATACAGAAGGGTTGGATCCCCCTATTTTAACTGTCGAAGAAGCTGTCGAAAAATCGAGTTTTTTTTATGTTCCTCCTTTTGCGTATCCGAAACAAGTCGGCGATTTTGCAAAAGGAATGGCTGAAGCTGATCACACCATTCTCTCTGCTGAGGTTCCCCCTATATATATATATATATGTGTGTGTGTGTGTGTGTGTGTGTGTGTGTGTGTGTGTGTGTGTGTGTGTGTGTGTGTGTGTGTGTGTGTAGTCACTTATTTGATTCTGAATTTGGACATTGCAGATAAGACTCGGTTCGCAGTACTACTTTTACATGGAGACGCAAACTGCTCTAGCAATTCCAGATGAAGACAACTGCATGGTGGTTTACAGTTCGATTCAGTGCCCCGAATTCGCCCACAGAGTAATCGCCACCTGTCTCGGTGTTCCCGAGAATAATGTCCGTGTTCTTACGAGAAGAGTCGGTGGAGGCTTTGGTGGAAAAGCACTCAAAGCAATTCCCGTAAGTACGATTTTATTACATATATATTTTTTTTTAGTTATTACATTTTCATGTAATAAAAGAAAATGTACGATTTTTCCAGGTCGCTACAGCATGTGCTCTTGCAGCTCATAAACTACGCAGACCAGTGAGAATATACCTCGATCGTAAAACGGACATGATCGTTGCAGGAGGAAGGCACCCGATGAAAATAACGTACACCGTCGGATTCAAATCCGACGGGAAGATCACAGCCTTACACCTGGACATACTGATGAATGCAGGTATTACAGCTGATATAAGCCCCATACTGCCACATAACATAATCGGCGCGATTAAAAAATACGATTTTGGAGCTTTATCCTTCGATATAAAATTATGCAAGACGAATCTTTCGAGCAAAACTGCCATGCGGGCCCCGGGCGAAGTGCAGGGTTCGTTTATAGCCGAAGCTATACTCGAGCATGTATCTTCTTTGCTATTAATGGAAGTCGATTCTGTCAGAAATAGGAATCTCCATACGTACGAAAGCTTGAAGCTTTTTTACGGGGAAGCATCGGGCGAATTGTTCGAGTTTACCCTGCCTTCTATTTGGGATAAAGTGGCGATTTCGTCGAGTTTTGAGGAGAGAATTAAAATGATTGAAGGGTTTAATGTTTCGAATAAATGGATTAAACGGGGTATTTCACGAGTGCCGATTGTGCACGAACTGATGGTGAGACCCGCACCGGGGAAAGTGAGTGTACTTTGGGATGGTTCGATTGTTGTCGAAGTTGGTGGGATTGAATTAGGGCAAGGGCTTTGGACGAAGGTCAAACAAGTTGCGGCGTATGCGCTCGGTTCGATAAAATGCGACGGAGTCGAAGAGATTATCGAGAAAATACGAGTTGTACAGACGGATACTTTGAGCTTAGTACAAGGAGGGTTTACTGCCGGGAGTACAACTTCCGAATCGAGCTGCGAAGCGGTGAGAATCTGCTGCAATTTGTTGGTCGAAAGATTGACGCCACTTAAGGAGAAGTTGGACGGTGAAATGGGATCTGTGAAATGGGATCTTTTGATTCTTCAGGTTTATACTTTTCGAATAATATTTTTTTTTTGGATTTTTTTTAATGATATTACTTTTTTTTCGTTAAGCGATTAACTTTGTGGATGCAGGCACATTATCAAAGTGTGAACTTGGCGGCGAATTCTTACTTTGTGCCGGAGTCCGATTCGAGTGCGTACCTGAACTATGGTGCTGCAGTTAGTGAGGTAAATATTTATCTCATTTAAGTAAACACTATTTTTTTTAATTAATGCATCATATTTTCGGTGGTTTTCCCGAAAATTAACCGAAAATATAAATCTTGATACGACCTTTGTTACTTAAAAGAGCAGCTTCTACCATTTTCTTTTAATAAGACGAGTTTTACTCGTTTCGACATTACACTTATATATATTCGACGAGAATATATAACTAATATAATATATACTAATTTAATTGCAGGTGGAGATAAATATCCTGACAGGAGAAACAAGAATATTGAGAACCGATATTCTTTACGATTGCGGCCAGAGCATGAACCCTGCTGTAGATTTGGGACAGGTTCAATACTTTAAAATTTACTTTTATCGAACATTTTTTTTTTCGAACTCATTATTTTTTAACTTTTATCACGAAAATATGCAGATTGAAGGGGCATTTGTGCAAGGACTCGGGTTTTTCATGCAAGAAGAATACCTAAATAATTCGGAAGGATTGGTTATTGCAGACGGTACGTGGAATTACAAGATTCCAACCATCGACACTATTCCACAACAATTCAACGTCGCAGTCGTAAATAGTGGACATCACCAAAAACGCGTTCTCTCTTCCAAGGGTATTTTGGTTTTTTTTTTAAATAGTATTTTTCATGAGAAAGTGAAGTGCAATTTATTTATCTAATAAACTATACTATGTGCATTTATTTTCTGCAGCTTCTGGTGAACCGCCACTGCTTCTGGCGGTATCGGTTCACTGCGCGACAAGAGCGGCAATTAGAGAGGCGAGAAAACAGCTCAAGTCTTGGGGAGCTGTGGAAGGGGTGGATTCGTCATTTCACTTGGATGTCCCTGCTACTATGCCGATTGTTAAGCAGCTCTGTGGCTTGGATAGTGTGGAGACTTACTTGCAGTTGCAGGCGAACCTCTCTCGTTGATAAATCTCGAGTTATTTGCTTTCTAAATTTGTTCGATGCGCAAAATATACGAGTTGATTAATCGAGGTATGTCATGGTATATTGGTGTGTTAATAAAACAGAGCAAGAAATCAATCTATAGAAAATGGAGTTTGCAATATTGTAATAATTTATGTTTAATTTTTTGACAAATGTAATATCTTTGTTCCACATATACGGGAAAATAGCGTATATTTTCCAGAGTAAATTACGATCAAATTGCGAAAAAACCTCTCTTGTTTGAGTAATTACTATTATTCCTCAACTATGAATATTTTTACACGCTCACCCTTGCGGTGTCAAATTTAGTGGAATCTTTTAGATTTTATGTGAATTTTCATCAGATTGTACCCGTTTTACTCAATTCGAGCTCCATATTTTAAAACAAGATGATCATAAGATATGTTTGTTTGCTTATAAACATCAGAAACTATATTTTTGCACAAAACGAGTACAAACTAAAGGATGTTGCACGAAATTTAGAAGTTTTTGTTGAATTTGATACTATAAGGGTGAACTTGTAAGAAGATTCATAGTTGAAGGATTATTGTAATTATCCAAACATGAGGGATTTTTTCGTAATTTGACATTATCTAATAGGTGAGAGTAATTTACCCTTCCCATAATCAATAAGAAAAATGTTTAAATATTTTAAAAATATATAGAATTTCCCAAGCGGCATTTGTGAATAAATATTTATTTATAAATTATAATATTTAATATATTGAGTTAATACATATATATATATATAGATATATATATATGTGTGTGTGTGTATCTATGTGTGTTTATATAGATCAATTTATCCAAATAAATATCATTAATTAGCAATTACTAATACCAAATCATAGCAAAAGAATTTGGGATTTGCTACCAAAACCAGAACCAAAAAATAGGTCAGATAATAAATGGATAATGAATGTGATTTATGCATGCATGTACGCAGAAATAATATCACGTACACGTGTCGCCACATTTTCTATTTGCTTAGTTGTATCCATGAATCTGACAGTAAGACATTTTCTTCACTTGCAAAATTGCCTTAGAATTAATCTCTGCCCAGAAAACCCATTTTAATTAGAAATGGACAAGCCTGAAAATTCCTCCGAGCCGCCGCCGCCGCCTGACCGCCTGATTTTCACTGTTAATGGAGAGAGATTTGAAGTCCCAGAAGTTGATCCTTCCACCACTTTACTTGAGTTCTTGCGCACAAACACCCCTTTCAAAAGTCCCAAACTCGGCTGTGGTGAAGGTATACATATATATATATATATATATATATATATATATATATATATATATATGTGTGTGTGTGTGTGTGTGTGTGTGTGTGTGTGTGTGTGTGTGTGTGTGTGTGTGTGTGTATATCTTTTTTGTGTTCAATTATTTATTTATTAACCTAAGCTATCTGCAGGTGGATGTGGTGCATGTGTGGTTCTACTATCAAAACGAAACCCTAACCCTAACCCTAGCCTTAACGAAATCGAACATTTCACCGTAAGTTCGTGTCTCACGCTCCTCTGCAGCATAAACAACTGTTCGATCACGACAAGCGAAGGCCTCGGAAGTAGCAAAGATGGAATATTCCATCCGATCCACGAAAGATTCTCCGGTTTTCACGCTTCTCAATGCGGCTTCTGCACTCCCGGAATGTGCATGTCCCTTTTCTCAGCTATTATTAATTCTGAAAACGACAGTAACCGACCCTCGAAATCGGGATTTTCGAAACTCACAGTTTCCGAAGCCGAGAAGTCCGTATCCGGAAATCTATGCCGATGCACCGGCTATAGACCTATCGCAGATGCATGCAAGAGCTTCGCCTCCGATGTTGACTTGGAGGATTTAGGGGTCAACTCTTTCTGGCGAAAAAAACGAGATTCGATTGAAAAAGTCAACTTAAGTCGATTGTTGCCACATTATAATCCGAAGGATCATGCTTCTTCGATTTTGAAAGATGGATGCAATTTTGCGTCGGGGCTTTTGAATTCCGAGAAGCATTCTTGGTACACGCCATTGACTATCGAAGATCTTCGAATGTTGTTATCACAACGCTCTGATCGTACAGTTGAAAAAACCGGTAATAGAATCAAGTTGGTTGTCGGCAATACAGCGAATGGTTATTACAAAGAAACCGAGAAATACGACAAATACATTGATCTAAGATATATTCCCGAGTTATCGGTTGTTAAAAAAAATAGCTCCGGTATTGAATTTGGAGCAGCAATTTCAATCTCCAAAGTTATATCCTATTTGAAGCAGCAAAATTGCGAATCCGATTTAATATGCTCGAAAATTGCAAACCATTTGGAAAAAATCGGTTCGGAATTCGTCAGAAACTCGGCTAGTATCGGCGGAAATTTAGTGATGGCTCAGAGAAAATATTTTCCATCAGATATTACAACATTACTTCTTGCTGTGGATTCTACTGTCACCATACTGACAGGTCAGCATCCACACAAACACGAGAAAATCACAATCGAAGAGTTCTTGCAAAAACCGCATATGGGGCCCACAAATGTGCTTTTGAACGTGCACATTCCTTTCATCGGACAAACAAAAAACAAGGCTAATAATTTAAATTCAAGATTAACGTTCGAAAGCTACCGCGCTTCGCCGCGGCCTCTTGGAAACGCGTTGCCGTATTTAAATGCTGCGTTTCTGTCGGATATTTCCGAGACTGAAAAAAATGGGGTTTTAGTGAATTATATTAATCTGGCTTTTGGTGCTTACGGCACAAAACGTGCGAAACGAGCAAGTAGAGTTGAGGAATATCTTTGTGGGAAAATACTAAGTGTTGCAGTTTTGAACGAAGCTGTCGAATTAGTGAAGAGCGACGTGGTTTCGGATGAAGGCACTTCGTACGGTGCTTATAGGTCGAGTTTAGCCGTTGGTTTTCTTTTTCAATTTCTAAATACTTTTTTGGGTGACTTATCGGATTATTTTAAGAAATCGTTGCTTCTAGAAGGCTCCGACAGAACCAAGAATATCGAAATGCTCTCATCTGCAAAACAAGTTATGGAATCGAGTCGAGATTTTTATCCGGTCGGTGAACCTATGAAGAAAATAGCTGCTTCAATCCAAGCCTCTGGTTTGTTTGTTTGTTTTTTTTCCTCTGTTTTTTCCTCTGTTTTTTTCCTCTGTTTTCTTCATTAAATTTAGTCGAAAAAACCGTTGTATGTATTATATATATATATACAGGTGAAGCTGTGTATGTAGATGATATTCCATCTCCACCAAATTGTCTTTACGGAGCATTTATATACAGCACTAAGCCTTCGGCTCGAGTCAACAACATTTCGTTTAATTCCAATACACCGACTGCTGTTATCTCATCTAAGGACATTCCGGAAAAAGGCGAAAACATAGGAAGTACGACTATTTTTGCTTCGGAGCCTTTATTTTCTCCTGATTTCAGTAGGTGTGCCGGTGATCGCATCGCTTTCGTGGTAAAATATATTTTTTTTTCTTAAAATTTAAAAAAAATTAAATGAAAGTTAATTTTCTCCAAGTTCGATTTATATAATATTTGATATGATACGTATTTAGGTAGCCGAGACGCAAAAACGTGCTAATGTGGCTGCAAAAACAGCTGTTCTTGATTACGACACACAGGATTTGGATCCACCTATTTTAACAGTCGAAGAAGCTGTCGAAAGATCGAGTTTCTTCGAAGTTCCTCCTTTTTTAACTCCGTCAAATGTTGGCGATTTCGATAGAGGAATGATTGAATCTGATCATAAAATCGTCAATTCTGAGGTATTTCTTGATTTAATTATCTGCATATATTTACGTCAAAATATTAGCTAAGCATTTTATATGGCATTCGACAGATAAAACTAGGTTCGCAATACTACTTTTACTTGGAGAATCAAACTGCACTTGCAATACCGGACGAAGACAACACGATTGCGGTTTATAGTTCAATTCAAAATCCGGAGTACGCGCAGATTGTGATAGCACGTTGTCTTGGTATTCCCGAGCATAACGTACGCGTTATTACGAGAAGAGTTGGTGGCGGATTTGGTGGAAAAGCAATGAAAGCAATCCCCGTGAGTACTACTTTCGACTCGTTCGGATCTTAATTTTTCTCCAATACTCGAACATATTTTTATTTATAAATTCTGAAATCCCGATTTCTCAGGTAGCTGCAGCATGTGCTCTTGCAGCACACAAACTCCATCGCCCCGTACGAACATATCTCGATCGAAAAACGGACATGATACTCGCCGGAGGAAGACACCCGATGAAAATAACCTACACCGTCGGATTCAAATCCAACGGCAAGATCACAGCCCTCCATCTCAACATACTAATCGACGCGGGCGTAACCGAAGACTCGAGCATACTAATACCACACAACATAATATCCTCCCTAAAAAAATACGATTTCGGCGCTCTCTCCTTCGACCTAAAACTATGCAAAACGAACCGCACGAGCAAATCCGCCATGCGAGGCCCGGGCGAAGTGCAGGGTTCTTACATAGCCGAAGCCATAATCGAGAACATAGCTTCGCATCTCTTGATAAAATCCGATGACGTCAGAACCGTAAATCTGCACAAATACGAAACCCTAAAGATATTCTATGGGAGTGCTTCCGAGGAGTGTGTGGACTACACATTGCCTTTTATATGGGACAGAGTGGCGGAATCTTCGAGTTATTTTTCGAGGGTTTGTTTGGTTGAAGGGTTTAATAAATCCAATATTTGGATTAAACGGGGCATTTCTCGAGTTCCGATTGTGCATGAGCTAATTTTAAGGCCTGCTGCAGGGAAAGTGAGCGTACTTTGGGATGGTTCGATTGTTGTGGAAGTAGGTGGGATTGAATTAGGGCAAGGGCTTTGGACGAAGGTCAAACAAGTGGCGGCTTATGCGCTCGGTTCGATAAAATGTGGTGAGGTTTTCGATAAAATACGAGTTGTGCAGGCGGATACGTTGAGCTTAGTGCAAGGAGGGCTTACTGCCGCTAGCACAACTTCCGAATCGAGCTGCGAAGCGATTAGAATTTGCTGCAATTTGTTGGTCGAACGATTGGCGCCGCTTAGGGAAAAGTTGGAGGAGGAAATCGGAATACCTGTGAATTGGGAAACTTTGATTCTCCAGGTTTGTGATGTATACAAAACCTCGATAAATTAATAACCTTGATTAAATAATAGTTTTTTCCAATCCCGACTCGGCTAAAACGTGTTAAATTATTAACTCGATAATTTAATAATTCGCTAAATTAATAGAATTTCCTTGATCCCGACTCTATTAATTTATAGAGGTTTAACTGTATATATACATATACTCTCCATAAATGAATCTCAATGGGATTTTTTTTTTGCATGCAGGCGCATTTTCGGAATATAAACTTGGGGGTAAATTCGTACTTTGTGCCGGATTCGAGTTCTTCGAGGTACCTGAACTACGGTGCTGCTGTGAGTGAGGTAATTATTAAATTTTTTTTTTTCTGTTGTCATCAATCATCACTAGTTAACCTAGGATAAAACAAATGCATGCATGCATATATCATGAATTTAATTTGGATCATCAAATTAATTAATTGCAGGTGGAGGTGAATATTCTAACAGGAGAAACAAGAATACTAAGAACAGATATTGTGTATGATTGTGGGCAGAGCATGAATCCAGCTGTGGATTTAGGACAGGTAGTTAATTATATTTAACTTTTTTAATTAGTACTAATTGATTATTGTCTTAATTAATCTATGTTTTTTGGTGTGCAGATTGAGGGGGCTTTTGTGCAAGGACTAGGATTTTTCATGCAAGAAGAGTACTTAACAAATGCAGAAGGATTAGTAGTTACAGACAGCACATGGAATTACAAGATCCCAACAATCGACACCATACCGAAACAATTTAACGTCGAAGTGCTAAATTCGGGGCATCACCGAAATCGTATTCTCTCGTCTAAGGGTACGTACGTTACGATTTCCAATGTATATAAACCATTCAAATATTATTATAACTATTAATTAATATATGTTTGATTGTAAAAACTTGTGAATAATATATAGCTTCCGGTGAACCACCGTTGCTTCTAGCGGCATCGGTCCACTGCGCTACTAGAGCGGCCATCGGAGCGGCTAGAGAACAAATGAAGTCTTGGGGAGCGGTCGAAGGGGTAGATTCGTCATTTCACTTGGACGTTCCTGCTACAATGCCTGTCGTTAAGCAGCTATGCGGCTTGAACGTTGTCGAGACTTACTTGCAGAGCTTGATCGCTCTCGAGCCATAATTAAACTACACAAGTCGGGTTTTTTTTTTTTTTGCGATTTTAAATGCGAGACTAAATGCGTATATTCGGTCGAATTATTTGTGAAATTATGCTTTATTTCTATGTTGTTATGATGAGTTCTTGAAATATTAGGGACAAGTTCTTGAATTCAAATCGGTGAGTTGACTCAATTATTTGAAAGTTTTATTAATTATCATAAATTAAATTAAAGTAAAAAGGGTTCATCATTTATTTAAATTTTAAAACGAAAGCGCCTACATCATGTAATCATTACAGTAACACTTCTAAAGAATAAAGATGCCAATATAAAAAAGGGAATAATATAAATAAACCTTTTTATTTATTATTTAAATCGTGTGTCATAATTAACAAAACTGCACCATCACTATATATAAACTTGCACGAATATGTTAATTTCTATTAACAAAACTTGTGCAAATAATGCTTACAGAAGACTCTACTGTATCCCTACTATCCGATTCCGCCGTGGTGCTGCGGTGGTGCCGCCGAAAGAGGCGGAGGAAGGGCGGGAGTGTTATACGGCTAGGGAACCGGCGGCGGAGAGGGGTCTGCGTGCGGCGGCGGGCGGTGGTGCAGTGGGGGGTTGTGGTGGCTTGCCCCCTCCGTGTGTTGAAGAAGATGATCGCCGGAATGGCTGCCAATGGGCGGTTGGTGGAGGCGTATTGCTGGTCTTTGCCGTTTCTACGCCTCAACTTGTTTCCTTTATGTTAAAAAAATTTACACGTTTATATTGTGATTTTTATTTTTATTTTACAACTTAATTTGCATATTGATTCTAGTTACTGATTAATTTAATTTCTTGGGAAAATAATGGTCAAATTACGGTCACCCCAAAGATAATGTTAAATTATACAAAATACCCTCATGTTTGGATAATTGTAATCAGTACTTTTCAACTATGAATGTTTTTATATGTCCATTTTTGCGATGTTAAATTTAGTGAAATTTTCTCCTATTTGTACACGTTTTATCACATTCGAGCTCCACATTTTGAAACAAGATGATCGTAAAATGTGTCTCTTGGTTTGTACATATCAGATAGACGTGCATCAGAAACTGCATTTTATCACAAAACGAGTACAAACTAGAGAACATTTCACGGTGAATTTGATACAATAACGGTGAATATGTGAAAAAAACTCATAGTTGAGTAGGTAATTGTAATTATTCAAACATGAATTTTTTTTTTTTTTTTTTGAGAATTTGACCTCACTTTAGGGATGACCGTAACTTAGCCAAAGTTTTATTATAAATATACACGTAAAAAGGTCTCGTATAATATTTTTTTTCTTTATTCTTTTTTTTTTTTGAGTAAATTCAAGTCCATTACAAGGGGAAGTAGGGGAGGGGGGGACTCGAACCCTAGACCTTTACCCTATTGGTAAAGGTTAGGTACCAACTCTCCTATTGAGGGTTGGTTCTTTATTCTTTTTCAAAAGGTCTCATATAAAATGTTGGGCCCACTAAATTCAAAATGAATTGGACTCTACAATTTTCATGGACCGGAGATCGAAACTTGGCCCAAAATCAACCCATTATTAAATCCCTAATCCTAAGTGCACTAATTAACCCTTAATTAATCATCTAAATAAATACTCTCATATTTGAGAACTGAACTTTAAGAACAGTGGAGGCGGGAGGGTTTTGGCCATGGCTTCTTCTCTCGTATCTGCTCAAACAACCGCCTTCCTCCGCAACCCCCTCCCCGACCGCCGCACCGCCGCCTTCCCAGCCCATGCTTACCGTCTCCCGGCCTTGCCGTATTCTCACCGCCGCATAGTCCTCTCAAAACCCTCAAAATCAATCACCGCTTGCTCCGTCAATCCCCCAGAACCGAACCAGTACCCGATTCGAGACACCCTATCCGGTTCGACCCGGACATTCGCGACAATCGGCGCCGTAGCCCTAGCCGCGTCGAAAGTCCACGGCGGGAGGCTGTTCACGCTGGCCGCGCAGGTGAAGGAGCCGGTGGTGAAATCAGCGGGGCCGGCGTTCTTCGCGGCCGTGAGGAGAAGCGAGCTGCGGTCGCTGAACACGCCGCTGACGGTGGTGGCGGCTGGGATGGCGAAGTGGCTGGACCTGTACAGCGGGATACTGACGGTGAGGTGCATGCTGAGCTGGTTCCCGAATATTCAGTGGGACAAGCAGCCCCTTTCCGCCATTAGGGATTTGTGCGATCCCTATTTGGGGCTTTTTAGGAATATCATCCCTCCCATTGGTGGCGTTTTGGATCCCGCTTCCTTGTTAGCGTTCGGGGTTTTGGGAGCGCTCGGTTCGATTCTCAAAGGTGCCGGTGCTTAGTAGTTCTGAGGTAGTTCGTTATGTTTATTATAGTGAATCCCACGTGCAGTTAAACCTCTATATATTTAGCAAAATATTAAATTATCTAATAGTTTAGTAGGATTTTATCGAGTCACATCAGAAGAAACCATTATTCAAGATTAATTTATAGTTTAGTAGGATATTTTAATATATATTTGAGTTTTTTTTTGGTAAGGAAGGAACCAACACCCAAACAATATAGATGCACTGGGTAAACCTATACTGTCTAGTCTTCATGTGGTTGTGTTTTCCTAGTTTCTTTTTAATCATGAATTTTCTGGATAACTAGTCCAGTTTCATACATATTGACTCAGTGAATGATGTGCTTTTGTTTCTTTTATATATATATATATATATATATATATATATATATATATATATATATATATATATGAGAGAAGTATTGCATTGCAAGTATGAGTCCAAACCCTAATTGGAGGTCTAATTCAATCACACTGCATGGGGTTCAAATTCTCTATCAAATTAAATTACTCAAGAGTCCAAATTATATCACACTATCGGGAGTTCAAACCCTAGTTACCATATGAAATGTATGTGTATTAAAAAAAAATATCAAAGAAATTACGTACATTGTACGTCAAACTTCACGACAAATGATAATCAATTACGCATGGGACCCGGCCCGATCGATGGCGAGCACTTATGACGGGCCTAAGGCCCGTATTAATAGGTTGAAACATTCTACACATAATATAAGAGAGAAATAAGTAAGTTGTTGTTCGATTTAAATTTGAATTCAAATTTTTTCGTGTGGTTTGTGAGTTATTGCGTGAAATCGTTTTTATCAACCAATGTAACAGGTTAAAAAATCAAAATACTCAGAATTTTCTAAAATTAAATAAGACCAGAAATAAAAAAAAATCAATTATTTTAAATAATTATTTAAATTCCGAGATGTGGTATTTTTGTAATTTCAGAGCGTAGATCAAAATGGGGCAAATGGATGTAATCGAGAGTAGAATGGGGGTAAATTGATATCAAACCAAAGTACAAGGGAGAAAAGTAGAATTTACCCTATTTGTTAGGATGAATGTGCTACAACAGACGGAAAGGGGGCCAAATTGAAAACGTAACCAAAAGTTGCGGGGCTTAATTGTGTACAATTGAAAAATTGAAACCCCTTTTAAACCCTTTAAGCTGTCGAACCCAACCGCGGCATCACCGGCGTTCGCCATTATCTCTCCGCCCATTTCCGATGCTCTCTCTGGCGAGAAGAATTCAGAACTCCCACAGATGCCTCCAGCTCACCGCAGCCCAGCTACGATCGGTGCGAACCGACTCCGGCTCCGGCTCGCCATCACCTCGTACGCGGCGGCGGCCGTCCAAGTTCTCACCGTCGGCGATGTTGAGAAAAACAGAGGATAAGTCGGATTGGTGGGCCGTGGACGGAGAAATGCACGAAATCGGGGAGAACGTGCCGCTCCGGGAAAGGTTTGTGATCCCTAGGGATAATATTCCTAACAAGCGCCGCAAGCAGCTTCGAGAGCAGTTCATGCGCCGTACTCGCCTCGTCCTCAAGGAATCTGTTAGTTCTATTTCGCTTCGTTGAATCTTATTTTCTGCTGAATATTCATTTTTCACAAATTAAATGATTTGTGTGTTATACATCTTCGAATTGTCATGTTTCCCCCTTTCTATTTTTGTGCTGCTTTTAGGGATTTATTGTAGAAACTAAAATGGTGGATGTTAAAATTGGATTTTGAATTTCTGGATATGGATTTTCATTTGGTTAAACCTAAGTATTCTTCTTTTGCCAATTGAAAGGAACACGAGCCTTGGTGCAAAAGATACATGGAACTATATAATGAGCTTAGAGAGAATTGGGAGAGGTTGTACTGGGATGATGGTTATTCGAAGAAACTTGCTCAAGATCACGCGAATTATGACTCGACTGATGACGATGAAGCAGATTTCAATCCTAACAGGTTGGATGGCTTACGTTTGTTTTCAGTCATTCGTTAGTGTTGTCTAATCAATCTGTTTAGTAAAAAGTTGTAATTTCTTGTTATGGAAAGAATGAGAATGCATTAACGAATGATGATCGCTCGTGTGTTGCAGGACGAGAGAACCCCGAGCTGAACTAATCAAGGTAATTTCATTTTCCTTAATATTAATTTGAAAACTTACTTTATAAAAGGTGCTCTGCATATCAATTACTTCATTTGGTCATAGAACTTAAATAGTTATAATACTCAACCTATATTTCCAAACTCGTTACTTTTAATGTACGTATATCGCGTTCTGTATTCTCATCTTCGAGCATGCGATGTAACACATGAAGGAGTTTTGAAAATGGTATTACTTGTTAGCTGCAAAAGGTTTATTTGGGCAATAGTTGTTTGCTTTATAAGCTTCTATTGGTGCTTTGCTTCAACATTTCAACTGCACTTTGGTATGCTGAACTGTAAAAGGTTTTTGTAAAAGTTCTACTTCGACGGCAAGTCAAAAATGGCGAAACATTTTTACTGCAGGAACAAATCATGGGGAGGAACATGGGAAATGATACTAGGGAAAAGGTTAGCCAAATCCGAGGGAAATTTGAATATGACAGAGAGAGAAGGATGAGAGAAAAAGGTCAGTTTAATTTGTTTAAATAACTTGCTATTATGTACACATACAGTTCTGCATCTGATTATGATACTGACACATCTCTGATACAGTTCCGAATTGATTTAAAAAGAAAGAAAAAAAAAACAATTACTTACACTAGTAAAGACTCGGCCAAGTTATTCAGTTCAGTCTTGGTTCTGATTAATGGCTCAGTGGCTCTTCAAACTTGATATCTGTTATCGTTTTCTTGGCATCTAATCTAAGTTCCCCCCGAAATTTCTACCTGATTTTCCTATACGTAGGAAGTTAAAGTGTGGTTAAGGATGATGATGTTATTGGTTAAAATGTATCTGTTAATTAAACCGAGGCATATGTAACGAGCATGATATATACGGCAATTATGGTTCAACAGTTTACTATGTTATTTTTTTAGCGTTTCATATTAACAGTTCGAAAAATTTGCAGCCTTTGCACCTATGAATGGAGTAAATGACTTTGAGATGAATAGAGCAGTCCAGAAGAACGAGCCCTTCGACATCAGTAAATACATTTCCGAATCTGATAACGAATGATTGCAGACTGAAAGGTTTTGACTGAAATCAAGTCAACAGACTCTGACCTGAATTATCAGAAACATACTGGTCAAGCTGTTAGCTATGGTACTACATAGTTACGACTTTTATGTGTACTCGTGGGGATGTATAAGAATGACAGTATGTGCCATAGAAACTGGAATTTCGGGAAACGAAATATTGGGACATTATAGATAGTTTATGTTTTATTTGGTGATTTATTATAAATTTAGTAAAGAGTAGATTTGCTTGAGATTGATTCTGGTCAAGTTTTAATGTAATGTAATCCAGGCCTTGTGGATCAATGAATTTTGTGCACTGTATACGTCTTGGATCGAGTTTTCAAATGGTACTATGTCCGTTTCGTATTATAATTGCCGTTTAAGGTTTTGACATAAGTATTATAATAGCCGTTTGAAAGACAAGTTATGCTCGAAATTTATCATCTACTTTAGAAGGCAAGTTTATTGCTTTGATTCCGAAAGCTCGCTTCGAGTGTGTTTAAATTATGACCGCATTTGAATTTACTTGGTAGACAAATCAGGGAAGATCGGGACGTTTTCGATAAAACGAACATCTTAAATTTAAAATTAAAATTAAATTAACAAAAAATAGTAAAAATTCAACTTTATTTTCTGAATTTCAAATTTCAAATAAAAAAGAAAAGAAAATCTATTAATCACACCATACCCAGCCGGCGCCAATACAAATTCTCCGTTCACAGTCTTTTCCTTTCACTTCACTCTTCGAAGCAATAATTCAAGTGTAGATCAGGCCCGGATCTGAAGCAGCAGCCGGGGCATTTTCCGACCCGGAAGATGAGCGGCACGCGGCTCTGCGGATTGTTGGCGGAATTGGGGTACGAAGGTTACGGGTCGTTGGACCCGGACAGTTTCGAATGGCCATTCCAATACGACGACGTTCGGCCCATACTCGACTGGCTCTGCTCTAGCCTCCGCCCCTCCAATGTCCTCTCCCACTCTGAACTTTCCCAGTAACTACTCTCCTCTCACCTTCCATTTCACTTTTCTTCACTTTTGAACTCAATTAGCAAAATCATTGCAGATAAATTTAATTTTTTTTTTCTCGTTAAATCCTTGAAATTTTGGGAGAAAAATGGTATTAAATTGTCCTTTTTGAAGTTATGTTCTCTTTGTGTTTAGTTGCCTGCTCTTTTGGGCATACATTCATTTGATTATAAGATATTGAGTGAAGCAGTTGTTTAAGTGCTTTCTGAATTCTCATGGGTAGAAATTTCATGCCCATCATGTTTGATTTCATTTTCTAGTGTTTTTTTCCAGGAAACTCTGGACTTGAATAGTTACATATAATTTCTGATTATGGATTATATTGTAGCCACCAATTGTCAGGACCAAAGTATTGAGAAAATAAAACCTCGTGATGTATAAACGATCGTCTTTTTTTTTTTTTTTTTGTGTTGTTTGAAATAGTTAGTGTTATTGCCATATTCCTTTTTCATGCTGTGTACATTCTTTATGGTTCGATTAAATTTGTGTGTTAAGATTTTGCTTGATATGATTGACATTTCTTTTCGATAATCATTTTCCTTTCTTGTTTCTAGGTACGAGCAGTTTTTGCAAGAAGGGAAGCTGTTGGAGGTATGATCATACTGTTACTGTTTGTCCCCCCGTTCACTGTCCGTTTCCTTTTTTGCACCTTAGGCTTTATACTGAAAGCAACTTCCTTTTTCTATATGATATCATTTTAAATTTGCACATCTATAGAGTGTTTAGGATGATGCTTGCCTGAAATGTTGTTCTTCTTCTTTATGTGTTGGCACCTTCAGCGACTTTGATAAAGAGTTCTAAGGATTTAGCTACTAGATTTTCTCATTCTGTTGACTCGAGTTGAGGCCCAATATCTTTGGAGTGTTTCTCTGTGGTTAAGCTGATAACACAATGTAATTACGATTTCTTCGTCAAATAAAGTGATTTTTTCCCACTACATCTGGTTTTAATCTATGCTTGGATGGATTGATTTCGGAATATGAGTTCTTTGATTTGTTCTGATATCTCTAGAAAAAGTTGTCGTTCTAATTCTACATATCTGCAAACTACTTTTTTTTCCTACTGACTCATATTTTCTTGTACTACTGAGCTGGTTAGTGCTATGTAGATTGTATTTCCGTGAGTGTGTATTGTTATTGTGCAATTTGATGCATTTTCACTCATGTATTCATGGTTTACATGTCATTAGGGAGAAGATTTAGATTTTGCTTATGACAGCATTTCAGCCTTTTCAACCAGGAGGGACAACCAGGAGGCAGTATTTGGAACTGAAGAAGGATTGAAAGAAATACAGTAAATACTATTGTTGAGCTTCTATTTTTGGATTTGTTGCCTTATTATGGTCCATTGACTTCTTTGCCTCTGTTGTTGATACTTGCTTTCATGTTCAGTGACGCTACTTTAGCAGCAAAATCTGAAGCGTCGGAGTTGCAGAAACAGCTCCGGCAACTTCAATTCCAAAATGATATGCTCACTGGGCAGGCTTCAACACTGATTCAAGGAAGAAGAGCACGAGTAGCCGCAACTTCAAACGCCAACGGACAACTGACTACCATAGACGATAGTCTTTCAGCTAAAAATTTGGAGGTATGTTAAAAAATGTGAACTCTCTCCATGTGCAATTTTATAGCTGTTGGCGTCGAGGTGATTGTGATAAATACATTCTTTTAATATAGATATTACAAAAGTGTCTTATAGACACTCATTTTCACCCTTCCATACCACCATTGTAATTAATATCACTGTGACCTAGATGAATGCAGTTCTTGGACGGATGGCCTCTACTGCTCAAGAGTTGGCACATTATCACTCAGGGGATGGTATCGCTTTTCCTTCTTTCTTCAGTATTTTTAGAATGAAATTTTGTTTTTTATATTCAAGGTGCGTAGTCTAAGTAGATTATGAAGATTCCTTATTTTATAATAAACAATAAAAATACTAATACTAAAAACATAGAATTACGTATTAACTGCTCTTAACAGTGTAATAAAAAAGTTAAACTTCTCCTAGCTTGATAATTGCTTTTCAAAATAACACAGGAAATGTCCTGTTCCTTTTATGAATAGAAATAAGTATAGTGGATATCAATCCAGTTGTAAGTTTGGGGTGTAACGTTTGGCAAAGTAGAGAGTGCTGTAGAATTGGCAAGATAAAGAACTGAGTGTAGTATAGACTTGTGCATGGAAGGAAATTATAATCTAGGTGCTTCGCTCCAATAATTTATGTATATTAACTATATGTGTATGTGATGGCTTTTTACATTCATTGCATACAGAGGATGGTATCTACTTGGCTTATGCTGATTTTCATTCATACTTGCTCGTGGATGGGTTCTGCATGAAGGAATTAAATCAGTGGTTCTCCAAGCAACTAGACACGGTACTAAACCTTTTTTTTGTTCTTTCCCTACTGGTATTTTAATTTAATTCCAGCACGAAACGAAGTGCTCAGAAAACATTTCATTATTGTTCTGATATACATGCGAAGATATTTGGTCTATTTATTCTAATAGATTTGTATGTGTGCTTTGGTGATCATGTGTCGTCACTAGGGTCCTTACAGGTTAGTGGCGGAGGAGGGGAGATCTAAATGCTCATGGGTGAGTCTCAACGAGATCTCGAATGTCTTGGTGCAAGGTACATCTCCCTTGTGTGCAAAAAGCTGTGTGCAATAGTGCACAATCATCCTCAAATAACTTGCCTAGAGACATTAGTCTTGCTGGTTTTTGTGAAAGTTCTAAAATTTTATGATTCTCATTGCTGATGAAGCAAATTACTGTGCACACATATATCATTATTATTCAGTGACATCCCTAAGAAAAATCGCATCTAGTTTTAGAAATTATGCTATGCCAACATAAAATTATTTTCTACGTTATCTTGTATAAAATAAAAGCTGAATCAATACTCTTCCTATTCTTTTCACCCTCTGTTTCCATTAGAAAGTTATCTTTCTTAAACACATGAAGCTGAAATCTGCCTGTCGATTGTCATTTAAAATAAACTGTATCATTACATAGAATAGGATCTGAAACCTTTTCCCTGTTTATAGTTTAAGTGGTTATTGCTAAGTACAGAACGCATGCTGGTCGACAGTCACAAATTCTGTTAGATTTTATTTTGACCTGCTCTGTTTTGCGACAGCTACACTTTTAAAAAACTTCAATCCTTGTTCTTCTGGTTAAGCTGGTTCTGCCGATCCATTATATTAAGTTCACTGGTCTTAGGAGGACGTGTCAAAACCGATATCTACATAAAATAATTGATCACATGTTGTTTGCATCAACCTTCTGATCTCTTTCATTTGATTGGTGTACCAGATTCAGAAAACATGCAGCATCAACGCCTTTCCGAATTGCAGCGGCTTCGATCCGTGTATGTGCCTCTATTTGTACAACTTATGCATTTACATTATAACTAAATATGTATCTGTTGATTGCTGAGTTCTTTGTCACACCATTTGTAAGTATCTTCCACACCTTTACGAGGTGAATTTCTACGAACTCTGCGATGACTTTTCCTTTCCTAATCAGTAATCACTGACAGCTGTCATTTTTTGTGCCAGATTCGGAACTAGCGAAAGACAGTGGGTGGAAGCTCAAGTTGAGAATGCTAAACAGCAAGCACTCCTCATGACACTTAAAGCTCAAGTGACATCAGATGAAGCTCACATCCATCTTGACCTTCATTCTCTTAGGTAATACTCTACCATCTCGAGTTCGTTTCTTTATCTTTGATTCTCTAAAAATGAGATACACTTGTTTTACCGAAAATTGTGTGCTGTCTTTTGTATTATTTATTTGCTTCTGCTATGAACTCAAAGAGATCTTAGCTTTTGTTACTCTTTAACGTTTTTTTTAATTAATGGGAAGATGAAAAGTGATTATCCAAATCTTCTCTTTGGCCTTCCAGTTTCATACTTCCGTTGGCTAGCTAGCAGGATCAGTGAAATGACAAATGAACTTTTTTGCCTCTTTAGGCGGGTAATGAGAGGGAGGGGAAATTTATGAGGAATGAGAGTTTTCGTAATCCATGATTATTTTTGACTAATTCCGGTAGATTTTTGGCGAAGTTTTGACTAAATCTGATGTTTCATTGTATATGGTGAAGTTTATGTAAATCATTTTGATTCTTAGAGTTACATGCACCCTAACCTATTGTCCTTGTTTATTAACAACGGGAAATATTACGTTCGTGATCAGTGATAGAATATTAGTCCATTTTATACTTGCCTAGTTGTTTTTTGTGTTTGATAACTTCTTATCAATCCTTGAACAGGAGAAAGCACGCCGAATTGGCTGGAGAACTTTCAACTTTATATCGGAAAGAAGAGAAGTTATTATCTGAGGTTTGAATCTGGCAACTTGTGGCAATTTTACCAAACAATCCTATTACGCACTGTAGCATCATTACCAAGTAGCAATTGCTACTTTGGTTCAGATTACGTTTTTCCATGCTTTCTTCTCCATATATTTCACTGCCATAGTCTCAAATTATTCCTTTTTTGCCTTCGACAACTTTTCGTCAGACAATTCCCGATCTTTGCTGGGAGCTGGCTCAGCTACAAGACACATATATCTTGCAAGGTATAAATTATTATATCCCAGTAGCAATTCTCCAACCACAATTTATTTTAGGTATCTCGTTTTCTCACTTCACGTTAACTTTCTTATTCAAATTTTTGTAGGGGACTATGATCTGAAAGTCATGCGTCAAGAATTTTATATTAATCGACAAAAAGCGGTATGTTTAGCATATTACGATGTCTTTTCATGTTGCATTTACAAAGATTCAGTTGCTACACGTTGATAAGTTGGGATATAAGTTATGTTTATTCTGTGCTAAATTCATGGAGGAAAATATGATCTTACTGAATAGGATCAAGTCGACTCCTTATTCTTTAATAATTTCAAAATACTTACATCTTCACTCACTCCCGAGACTTCTTTACTTTCTGCAGTTCATAAATCATCTGATTAATCAGCTATCACGGCATCAATTTTTGAAATTAGCCTGCAAGTTGGAAAAGAAGACTATGCTTGGAGCCTATACCTTGCTTAAAGTTATCGAATTAGAGCTGCAAGGTTACCTGTCAGCAAGCAAAGGTCGAGTGGTATGAATGCACTACATCGGTTTAATTTAGGATACTATCTCATATATTTTATTATTTTATTCTCTGCATTTATCACTTAATGTAAACAGTGCTTTGATTTAATTGATTTGTATGTGCATTATTATATCTTTCAAGGGTCGTTGTACTTCATTGGCTCAAGCTGCATCTGATCTTTCCGAACAAGGAGCAGTCGATGATAGAGACACTTTTCTCCACGGTGTTAGGGATCTTTTGAGCATCTATTCAAGTAAGGCATCAAAAAAGCATATTCCCGTTTCTTGATATACGAGATCCATGATAGAAATAACCGTGTCAAATTTCGCAAATTTTCAGACGCTCAAGCTAGTTTATCAACATATGTGTCTGTTCCGGGCATTGTTCAGCAACTATCTAACCTTCATTCGGACTGGTGACTTTACAATCTGACCTAGAATATGCCCTTCCCGAGGACAGAAACAGATGTATTAATGACCTGTAAGTTATTCCGTTAATTATATTATTAAAAAAAATCTGGAATTTGAATCGAAACGATTCATTCGCTGGGATTTTCTATAATTTCACAAATATGTTGTTTAGGATGGTGTTCGTTTTTTAGCAGATCATTACAACTTTTCGTCTGATGTTATTACAGGTGTACCCTTGTTCAAAGTTTGCAGCAATTATTATTTGCATCGTCTACAACTGCACAACCGATTTTGACACCCTGGGTATATACTATTTATCGATTTGTTCTTTTAATTGTCTTTTATCTTGCTAGACAACAAAGAAGCTGTAATCTTATGCTTCTCTCTCTCTCTCTAGACTCTAATGAAGGAGCTGGATGAAATGGAAAAGGTCAACGCAAAGCTCTCAACTGCAGTCGAAGATGTGATGCTCGAACATTCCAAGAAGAGCGAGGTATCTTTTCAATCTCATTTCTCCAGTTGATTCTGCTATCAATATTTCTTGATAAGACTGACCTTTGCATTAATATTCCGTAAATTCTGAAAAATTGATTGCTCGAATCACGTTTGAGTTAAAACTCCTTTTCTTTTTCAAACCAAATTTCGATTTATTTCACTCGTTTGTGAAATGCAGATTGTTAAACATCATTCCCAAGGAACAACGCTTCAAAGACGGGTGTTTGTTGATTTCTTCTGCAACCCGGATCGTCTGAGGAACCAGGTGAAGGAATTAACTGCACGTGTGATGGCTTTGCAGGCGCCATAGTCTAATGTACAGTATGTATTAATTATCATTGTTTGATTATTATATATCTATATAATGTTTGTAAATTCCATTCACCGAAGAATGTTATTTTTTTTTCTTTTTTCGTTCTAATTACAAAGGATAATCCTACATTCCTACCTATATATTGCTTTTCATTTATGTAGTCTTAAACGGTGTCGTTTTGTTAAGAAAAGCGACTAACTAAAAAAGCGGTTTGCAACTTTAGAAATCTTCAGGCCTAGGTAAACGGTGTCGCTTCGGCTTCTTTCAAAATACCCAATCAATTTGCCCAATCTGTGACAGTGACAAAAGAAAATATTTAAAATATAAATTTGATTTTATAATAAATTATTATAAATGTGTTTTTTTATTTGAATTTAATTAAGTAATTCGAAGATGATACTGGTTTAAGATTTTTTTTAGTAAGTTCTTTAATAGTTAAATTCGGTCGTAAACTCATATACTGTACAATATTGATTTACAACATGATAAATTAATATTTACATTTAATTAATAATTTCTTCGGTTCCAGCTCGATAAAATATATATTAAATTGTTAAATTGATAATTTAATATTTTATTAATTTTGACTGTATTAGCTTATAGAAATTTAACTGTATATACAAATTTAAATATAATTGTAATTATAATTCAAGTCTATATCGCCACACCGTGACATCGATTTTTTCTTCCCCTCTCTCTCTCTCTTGCGTCGATTCACCGCGGTTTCTCTCTCTAAAATTTCTCCGAACACGTTGCCGCCCCTGCTCCACCGGTAACTGTTGCTTTTTACATCTGAAATACATAAACCCAGTGTGAATTGAGGTAGGGTTTCTGCTTTGTTTTTTTTTTTTTGATTTTTTTTTTCTGTTCATTTTAGAAATTGATCACTGCTGATTTCTGCAGTTCTGGTAATCGATTATACATAGTTTTTGCTTACTGATTACATGGATCCTATTTTTCAATTCTCGTTGTGTTTTTGCTGAATTATTTTCTGATTTTTTAGTTTGTGATTGTTAAGCTTATAAAATTGTGATCGCGAGAAAGAAAAATTACAAAAAACCGTTTGAAAAGATGTTTATAAGAATGTTCATGTGTAAGCCTCTTGTGTCCAATTGAGCTATATGCCTGTAGCCATTAATTAGCTTGGATGAATTATTGCTGTTTAGATTTGAAACGGACTAGCTTCGATCGTGTTTAATGAATCCCGGGTGTTCTGTTGGAAATCATTCGAAGTAGAGATCGGATAGCGGAACTACAAGCGTGTGTTGTTATCAATTATCTTAGGTTTCGTTTGGATCTTAGGATTTGAAATCCACCACAATTTCTCAAAAAACAACTAAAAACGAGAGTTATGAATATGGAACTCCTTGTCGAGTGAGTAAGTGACCCAATCGAAACAAACTCGAGGGATTTATTATCATGGATTTGAAGTTCTTCCCTCAAATCCTCTCATCCAAATGCGCCCTTAGTAAAATCTGTTTTAACTTGGTACCGTAAGCTGTTTCGTTCTCCAACCAAGGCTTGGAAGTGGAGAAATCGAACTAAGAATATCACGAGGCTTCTTTCTCTTTGCAAAAATCTTGATTTCCTATAGTTATTTTCTGACGTTGGCATGGGCTTGTTCCGTTTTCTCGTCTGCAGATTGAAGTGGATAAATGGACAGCGAGAAGAAGCTGATATACCACGAGAGGCAACGATTGCAGTTTTGTTTATTGCACTCCCTCAACAATCTATTCCAGGTACATGCTTCCAAAACTGCTTCCCTCTCTCGTTTTTGTTTTCGTATACTTCTCGTAATGTATGTTTATTTTTGCATAGCTGTTAGTGTTACAATCATGTGAGAGGTATCAATTTTCACAACTATGTAATGCATGTGTATTTCTTGAAATTTGTTCATAAAATTGTTTGATCGTACAATGGATTATGTGATAAATTAAATGCTATATAATTAGGAGAAAGATGCGTTTACTCGAGAGAATTTGAATGCCATTGCTGAAAAACTTGACCTCGAGGACCCAAACAAGACCACCCGGACCCCATTGTCTGTAATCTTTAAGCCTCACCATAACGTACTGACTGGGAATTACGATATTAATGTACTCATTTCTGCACTTGAAGAGAGGGGTAAAACGGTAATTTGGCATGATCGCCGTTCTGGTGCATCTTCAATTGATCTTGATGGAGATAAATTATTTGGCATTATAATTAACGTCCGTGTAAGAAGGTACGGTGGTCTATGGAAAGGTAGGCATTGGATTACACTGAGAAAAATCGAAACAGTTTGGTACAATTTGGATAGCGATTTTTCCGCTCCTTACCCTTTTATAAACACAGAAGAAACTAGGGAGTTTTTGGACGGTGTTATATCAACGAGCGGAGAGCTTTTGCTCGTCATGAATGGTGAAAATAATGAAATGTGAAAAAAACAGAAACGGGATAAAATTTAGCTTTAAGGCGTGGATTTTTTTACGTGTTGCCACTGATTCCCCGATTCGTTTTTTTTTTTTTTGTGGGTTTAGATAATCATATTTCGTATAATCTTTACCCAGGAAAAAGATTCATGTAAATACAATTTCAGAATCATAATTGAAATGTAGAGTTTGTGTTGAACTGTTTGTAAAATAATATGTTGTTTGATTTTGCTCTGGATTGAATGTACCTGCATATCTGTCTCTACTGATTGATATCTTGAAGTTTTATGACAACCATAACTCAGAGCTGTAGTCTCTTGTTAGGTAAATTGTACATACCCAGAGATGTGTAATTACAATTAGGCTCTTATCATATTTGAAAAATTACATAAATCTTTCTGAATATTTATTTTCCCTCACTAAAATATTTATTAATATTAGAATGTTAATTAATTTGAGAGTGAATCAAGATTCGTGTGTATGTTAATTAACCACTTAAGTAGATTAATTAACAGACACTTTTAAATGTTTTATATTACCTAATTAATTAAGACAAACATCAGTAACTAAAGAACAAAACCCAGAGAGTGTGAGTGAGACAGTATAATCACAGCATCAAGAAAGTAATTTTTTTATTTAATTTTTAATTTTATTATTTTTTTAACTTTAGATACTCCAATTCATGATGTTGTTCCCCTCCCTTCTTACATAACTTCACTATTTAATTAAAACAAACACAAAAAGTACTCAAAATTAGATTGAAAACAGTGCCCACCGAAAAACTTAACTAGGCTAAGAGTGGGTATCATAATCATCATTTGATGATTATGAAATTTATCTTCTTAGCCCAATAAAATCAAATCTATGAGCATATATTAATTAATTACTACATTAGTAACAATTAAACACCACACTAATAATAATAATATAATATTCGTGACAACAAACAACTGCAAAACTATACTATAATAGTAAATATCTTTTCATTTGTCCCCCTCATAATATATTTACCAAACTCCAATAGTTTCTTCAGCAAACACATGTCGGACGCAGGCAGCTTGAAAACACTCCACCCCACACCCTCTTCTGCACAATTTAATAATTAATTAATTAATTTAATTAATTAATAATAATGTAAAATAAATTTTTATTAGTGGTTTTTTTTTTTACCTTTTTGGGGTGTTGACGGAGAAGATGAGGTGAAATCTTGTATAGATCTTCATCAACTGGTTTAGGTTTAGGTTTGGTTACTACAGTTGTCGTAGTTGTCGGATTATTACGAACCGGGTTTTGTTTTCCGACCGGTTTCATCTCACAGTCACAGTCACCTATAACCCATGAAGATTCATCTTCTTGTTTCTTCCCTTTTGGGTTTCCTCTGTTGCCCTTCTAATTAATAAATACAAAGTCTGCGAATTTATCAAGAGGGCTGTAAGTAAAATATATCAAGTAAACAGGGGTTTATATTTTTACTCGGCGGCGAGTTACGACGATCATGGCCGGAGTAACGACGTCGTTCTGGTACAAATCGCCGTCGACGTACAAATCACGGTCTTGGGAGTATTTGTAGTTGTAGTGGAGTGCAGATTCGAAGCACTGAGTGAAGGGTAAGTCGTTGTTGCTGCAGTCCCAGCTCCCAAATGGTGGCACGTGGCTCCTCATGAAGTAAAATTCCTGCACAAAATCAAGAATCAAGAATCAAGAATCAGTCTTTTTTACTTTCTTGATTATACTGCATATAATAAATAGTATTTGTTATTTGTGTGGTGGTGGTGGTGCTGCTGCTACTAATAGTTTGCTGCTTACATCCATTGATGGTGGGTGAGAAGTATTTTTGGGAGATTGACCTCTAGAGAGAGAAAGGAGATAGAGAGAGAGAGAGAGAGAGAGTAGACTTTGTTTGGTGTTTGCTTTAGTGGATTTAGAATGTGGTAATGGGGATAGGGGAGTGTGTGTATATAAAGGGTAAAAAAGGTAATGGGCCTCTTCTTTTCAACTTTCTTCTCTTTCTAGTGTGTTTTTTAAGTAATGAAAGGATTGTGGGTTTTTTTATTTTATTTTTCTTTGTTTTAGAGAGAGAAAAGAAAGCTCGGATTTCAATGTATATTAACACTAGCAAACAGAAGAAACAGAGAGGTAGGGGGGTGGGGGTGCGGGGGTGTGTAGCAGAGGTTTGTGGTTTAGTTTAAAGTTAATTTGAGGAAGAAATGGTGATGACTTTAATCAGAGGGTGTGACTGCTTTGCCTTATTTGTCGCTGGTTAAATGTATATTCCAATGTGTATATATATATATATATATATATATATTAATATAATATAATAAAATAAAAAGGAAAGGCAAGCTATGTAAAGTTTGCTTCTACTGTGGTTCTGCTAGTGAAAAGGGCTTCAAAAAAGGCAGAGGCCCATACGAAATATAGGTTTAATGAGATGAGCAATCACCACTGTATTTTCAGGAATTTAATTTTTATTATTTTTGATTTTGATTTTGATTTTGATTTTGATTTTGATTTTTTTTTGTTTTAACTCACTTTTGTCATTGAGTTGTATCTCTCAAGGCTAATGGGGTTTGAAGCATTTAGATTGAAGATTCTCTGTGTTATGAGACAGATGAACTTTTTTTGTTTGGTATGATTTTTTGAAATTATGTTTAAAAAGGGTTGCTTATTTTGATTTACTCTTTTCTTAATTGATAATAGATCTCGAAGTTATATTCGAAGCGCACTGAGTAAACTATGTTATCGTGCAATATTTTGTTAACAATACTAGATTTAACATATGCAGCGATATTAACCTAGAAAGTGTCAGGCAAAATTTTTGGTGAAATTACATCCGAGCTATCTTGTTCCACAAACTAATTTACAACGTCTATGGTTGTTCGATTCAATTTTCCCATAACAAATCAAATTTCACCAAACGAACAAAATTTCAAAAAAGAATTAAAATAAATCAAGATTGTATATTTATTCTGTCTGGTTAAAGCTACATCTAGCTCTACTCAAATGGTATCGATAAAAATTCAAAACATCATTTTTAAAACGGTATTTTCGCACCTTTGGGCTTAAATTTTTTATACAAGTACAATGTTCATTTTAACTTAATATCTAACCATTGAAGCAGACAATAAACAAAGTCATATCCCTTTCAAATAATTAATAAGAACATACGAATTTAAAAAAATGAAAAAGGGTTCTTTGAATTTTTGAGCCACGAACCTAAGAAAACGCCAAACAACATAAAATCGCTATTTGTTCTTTAATAAATCGTTTTAATATTTCTTATTAATAAAACAAATGTTTATAATACAAATTAAGGAATAATTCTATTTTTCAATCTTCTAAAATAGTATTTGTTTCCTATAAATAATTCTCTGCATACCCTCCCAAAATATGAATAATGTTTTCCAAGCCACTTTGTCAAACACATACTGACAAACAAGACAATAACACCCTTTTCTAAATAAATAAATTTAATAATAATAATAAATAAATATTTTTGTAAAATTGCCGAATGTAAGAAGCTTTAATCACAAGAAAAGAAAAACGAATTAACTTAAAAGAATCACTATTTTAATACTTTCCTCCAAAATTAAAAGACTTAGAAAGAGTCAAAGATGGGGCCCACATCTAAAAAAACCAAATAAAAATGAATTTAAAAACGGCAAAAGAAAAAAGTGCTGGGTAAGTTGTAAAAAGCGCTTTTAACTCCACATGCAATGAAGTTCAAATTTAACTGTGCACCCGGCATGCATTAAAGACCCACTTTAACTATTTCAGATTTTTCTAATTAATTTTTTATTAAAAAAAATAAATTACATCCCATAAAAAAATTCCATTAAAACAGAAAATAGGAATGAAGTAATATGTTAAAAAAATATAAATTTTCTTGACGAAATTGGCGCAATTTAATTTAATTTTTATTTAAATTATGTTAAATTTAATTTAATTTAAATTTTCTTGTTAAAAAAATATAAAATATAGTAATTTTTATTAAAATAATTTTTATTTTTTTTAAAGGCTAATTACAACCACCCCTGAGTTATGCTCGAATTACGAAAACCCCCTTCTATTTGGGTAGTTACAACCAACCTCAACTATAAATCTTCTTATACGTCCACCTTTTCGGTTTCAAATTTAGTAGAATCTTCTAGATTATATGGAATATTCTTAAATTTTGGACCCGTTTTGTTCCATTCGAGCTCCACATTTTGAAGTTAGATGATCATAAGATGTATTTTTTGGCTGGTATATATAAGTTGTGGTGCATCAAAGACTGTATTTTTGGACAAAACGAGTTCAAACTAGAGAACATTTCACGGAATCAAGATGATTATGTTGAATTTGACACATAAGGTGGAGATGTAAGAAGATTCATGGTTGAGGGGTAGATGCAATTATCCCAACAAGAAGGGTTTTTTCGTAATTTGACGATATATAAGGGTGCTTATTTCAAATTGGCGGAATGAAGTAGAGAGAGAGAGAGAGAGAGAGAGAGAGAGAGAGAGAGAGAGAGAGAGAGAGAGAGAGGGGGTATGGGGAAGTCTGAAGGCAACACTGTGTAAGGTAAAGTGTTGCATCACCATTTTCAGATATTTATTACCGCAACAAAAACTTCTGTTTGTGAACAGTTTCTGTGCACCCAAAAGTAATTAATTCTTTTTTATTTTTTTTATGTCCCATATCTTGCAGGTGCATTTAAATGGTTCTGTTCTGCACTATAAAATTTTTAGAATTGGAAATTTTGAAGAATGCCTTTTATTTTCACTTTATTTAATCTGGTAAAAATTTTTTTTTAATTTTCTTAAATTATGAATGTGACAGATGTCACGTGAGTGGGATTAATTTTGTTGACGTACATCACAAGTCAAGGGATAATACATTTTCTTATTTTCACCATAATCTAGGTTAAGGTTGTTTATTGTTTTTTTTTCTTGGTCAAAGTCAAATTTCTTTTTATTATTCCAAACGGATTTATTTATTAATTAATTGTTAATAAATAATGTTAAAAATTAATTATGCCCCAATCATGACTACAAATAATGGATAAAATTAAAAATCACACATTTATATGTAAGAGGTCAAATTCCAATTGAAATGAAAACCAATGTTTACAATCAAATAAAATATCTAAAAAATTCAAATATTTACAAAAATTGCAAATTACAGTCAAATTACGTAAAATTGTGTACTTATATCCAATCGGGTATAGTTGAGAAAAATAATTCTAATTAATTAAAGAAAAATAATTTTCTGTAATTTAAATGAAACCAATAGACATGGTTGGTTTGACATGGTCTGAAAAACAATCTTTCTCGAGAAATTAAAAACAAGGAAAAATAAATAAATATATTTGGGGCGTTGGGAAAAGAGTAAATTCAACTAACCCCCCCAAATTTGATTGAAGTGTGATGAACCACTGGCCTAGTGATTTAGTGTCTATATATATAGGGGTGACCATTTTCATTGTTTGACTTTGACAATTATTTCAATTTTACTTGCCCAAACGGCTAATAAACGACACGTGGTTAGATATATCTCTTTTTTAGTATTTAAATAAATGTTTTGGATAAGTTAAATTAACCATGGTAGAATCCAAATCAAACAAGCATTAAATTTTGTTTGAGGATTCACTACTTAGGCTATATATAGGGGAAATTTCAAAGATATTGTAGCTAAGTAGTTAACCATTATTGTTACAATTGTTCTATGGGAGGATTTTTCTTATTAATTTTAATTGATTAGGCATATATATATATATATATATATATATATATATATATATATATATATATATATATATGGAGAAATTTCAAGATATTGTAGCCAGTGTTCTAAAAATCGACCAAGGCGGTCCAAAACCTTTACGATTTTAGTGTAAAGGTTTGAAAAATCGGTTTTTTGCCTGTGAGGCGGTCTGAGGCGGTCAAACCTTTAAGGCAGGTCAAACTCAGTGGCAAAAATCGGTTAAAAATCGGTTTTTTTTTTCTTCCTTTTTATAATTCAAAATAAAAGTTGGATTTTAATAAAAGAAAATATGAGTTTATGCCTTATTTTGTTTTTGTTAATTGTTATCGTTAAAGAACTAATGATATATGCCAGGAATGTTCAAGAATAAATGTAAATTGAAAAAAATTGTTTTTTTATTTATATTTTATAAGGATATTTATGTATTATGATCTTATAATTATTAAACTTTTATTATGTTATTAGGATATATACATGATGGAGATATAACTATGTTTAAATATCTATTTATATATTTTGGAGTATTTATAAATAATATTTAGAAATATATTATATTAAATTTTAAAAACCGATTTATTTCCGATTTATCACCGATTAATCACCGCCGCACCGATTAATCGTGAGTCGGTGCCTGACCGACTCCAACCCGATTACCGCTTTTTACAACCTTGATTGTAGCTGATATGATACGGGCTTGATTGACTCAAAACCCCAAATAATAAAGATTCTACACTAAAATCTAAAGACAGTTTAAGTCTCTTTTAAATTTTGTCCACTTACAACACTTTATTAAGTCGGCCACCAGCTCGCTGTGTAGTAGACAAGCGATTAATGAGACTACATTCCAGCACAAGAAAGGCGGGAAAGTCTACAACATGACATTGACCGAGATAAGGCTCAGTTATGGCTCTAAAAGAAGCAATCACGCATGCTTGAGAAAAAAAATCAGATGCAAATCGATAATTCAGCAATGTTGATGATTTTCTCACACTTCTCTTATTGTCTAGAGAATAATGATTTAATAGTTCGTATTCAAAAACTCTTACAAAAAGATTGGGAAGAGCAACTATTTCACGTATATGGTCATTTTGCAAACCTGACTTTTGATTAGAATGGCAGAGTGCTTCGGTACGACAACACTCAGGCGAGCATCGTGTTTCTTCTTTCGGTGATAATTACGTCGTTAGTTACTTTTGAATGATAGTATCGCAATTTTTTTCTTCGTTAAAAAAGGGACTTCCTTTCTACAGTTGAAAAATTGCTATTTGTAGTTAAAATCTAATGCTATTTGTATTTGAATGCCCAGACCGGGCGCGCAAACCGGAAACGGACGCCCAAACCGCGCGCGCATTCCCGAACCAGACGTCCAAACCAGGCATTCACCAGCATTTTTCACGCCCAAACCGGCCGTGAAAAATGCTGGTGAACGTCCGGTTTGGGCGTTCACCGAGCGCAATTTTGGAAAAAAAACAGTCATACAAATCGATTTGTAGGGTTGTTTAACATGAAATTACTATCGAAATTTCCTACCAATGCAGTAAAAACGTTTAGAAGTTGTTAATACCTCAAAATTTCGATGAATTTGGCTTGTTTTTGCTTGAATTCGAATTTTTTGAATGTTTTTTAAATGTTACGGTTTTGGGGCAAGTGGGTGGGAGAGGGTTTGTAGTGAGAGAAGTGCTTTTTGGGATATGAACTGCAAATAGCAAAGTTCTAACCCCAAAAAGCATTTCTTAAAAAAAAAAAAAAGTGTAATCATATTAATATAACAAAATGGACCAAGAAATTTAAATAACCCAAACTTTACTTTTAGTCCAACTGCAACCGAGCCACAGTAGTTACTGCAGCCAAGCCCACTAAATGTACTTGCATATTTTCTAGCCAAAATGGATTAAGTTACTGGAACAAGTGATTTATGTAATTTTTTTGATAACAAATAAATCATAGTTGAATATAAAATTTAATTATGAGACAATATTAACACGAAGTAAATAATACAATAACTTATATAAATATTAAGCATCACTCAAATCCAAATAGAATAGTACATTAGAATTAACTAAAATAACACAATAACCCCATCAAAAATTGCAAATAAATTAAACAGCTTAACATTTCGTAGATTTTCTGAATTGCAAATACTAATTAATTAATTAATTTACTAATGAATTATGCTTCATCTTCATCCACGTCTTCATTGAAGTCACCAAAGGCGGCAGCAGGTTCTCCGGCGGCGGGCCTAAACAGCTCCACGTCATCTGTGTCGTCAATGAAAGGCGAATATTCCGCGTCTTTCTCTTCTTCTTCGTCATCGGAATTTTCGATCTGCTGTTCGTACGGCGGTGCGGCGATTAGTCCTTCGAAATCTTCTTCATCGTCTTCCACATGATCCACGGTTTTCGCCGGCTCCTGCGTCGACGGCGCGACCACTTGTGGTTCTTTACTCGTTGCTTCCGTTTCGGCGATCAAATCTTCCGCCGGAGTGGCGTCGATCTGCATTAACCAAATATATAATATATAGTACACCACTTATAATAATAATTGCATATCGATCATGTCAGCCATATCATATATATATATATATATATATATATATATATATATATATATATATATATATATATATATATATATACGTATC